TCTGGAGGAAGGGTTTGTTTGTTGGAGGAAGAAGATGATGGCAAATTCGTAATTTTGGTGGGCCCCACTTTTGTTGGGTTGGGCAAGAACATGACATGTCACGTTGCCATGTCATTATTTATTCATTTATACAACTAATGTGTCTCAAATGTTTGACATGTCATTAAATCGTCGTAAGATAACGGTGATATTTTAACGGAAGGACTAAATCGGGGTAAAAATGGTAAACAGTAGGGACCAAATCAGGGGTTCGTACAATAGTTTAGGGACCAAATCAAGGGTCCGTACAATAGTTTAGGGACCAAAAAGGGGTTTTAACCAAATAACAAAGCAGTATGTTAGTACAAGAAAAGTTACTACTTATTGTCAATTAATTTTAAATTAAATACAAGTTTTGTATTGAAGTTAACACATGCCTAATTTTCATACTATTCAAGTTTAACCAACATAATTATTTTGTTAACTGATTTCAATCGGTTTCTTGATTTTTAAAAGATTTTCGTGTACCTAGAATGCACAAGGGCTTAATTAGTACCAATAACATGTTAGTTTGAATAGAAGGAGATCGATTTTCCATAAGTAAGATCTCGAGTTCAAGTTTTGTCAATGGAGAAACAGACGCTAGGAGAGTTTCTCCCCTAATAGAATCTAACGCAACTCGATTCTGAATTAATCGAAATTCAATTTGGTTACCAGATACTAAAAGGTTAATAAAAAAAAAAGAGGGCTTAATTAACTCATAAAAAAGCTCAAGGGAGAAATTGTGAAAAAGAACCAGTTATGGAACTTAGGGGTGATTATTCCTTAATCGTTAGCGACAATAAAAGTCCAACAAATACCAAAACTGCTTACTTGTCATATATTCTCTTCAAGATTATAATTACAGTATTATCACATAACATTGTCTATTTATAATTATTATACGATATTAAATAAATAAATATTTAATAATATTATGAATAAATTTTTTAATGAATAATTAATTATAAAATAGTATATCAAATTATAAATTTATAATATATTATGTAACATTGTAATTATAATATTTTTAAAAATAATTACTAAGATAATTAACTCAGAACATTAGACATGGGAACTTCCAGATCTTTATATTGGTCGTGCGCTATTAAATTTTGTTATGCAATCGGGGGTGATCAGGTGATGTATATATATTTTAAAAAGGTTAAAAAAATTGGAAATTCCATGCCCACTGGGACGAAGTCAAGAAACAACAATTAACCAATTCGTGGTGCTTTCATATTCTCTACCGTCTTCTCTTTCTCTTCTTGGTCTACTTTGCCGTAACCAGACAGATAATGTAGTACCACAAACAGCATTGACAACGATAATTACAACAGAAGACTGTTTCGATTCTTGATTCTTCAATTCTCAGTTTCCTTGTTTTCGGTTTTTTGGATGAATCTGATTGCATCCTGACCTCCGCGAATTCGATTCTTCCCCCTTTTTTTTTTTCTTCTTTTTCTTTTTCCGGGGACGGAATGAAGAGTTCTCTGAGAAGATTGCGAGGCTTGGGGCTTCTCAAGTACGGCGGCGGTGACCGCAGGAACCGACGCGACGTTCACCCTTTATCTCAATTGGACGAGCTTACCGAGGCTTCTAAGGTTCCCCTGCTTTTTTTTTTTTTCCTTTTTTGTCCTCTCCTTTGGTTTGCTAAGGAATTAAGGAAATGGAAGGAAGAGATTTCGTTTTACTTTTGGGTTTTTATTGTTCAATTGTTATTGCAATTTTAGAAATTGTATCATGTTTCAGAAATTGATTTCTCTTCCCATTTCTTATGGTTTTGTTTTTAATAAAAAATGGGATTAGGGTTAGGGTTTCTATGAATTACGAAATAGACATATGCATACTTCTTACAAAATGCTTCTTCCAGCCAACAGAGAATTGCTTGGCCTTTTGTCTTATATGGTTGTTTTTGGCAATGTTTTATGGTTGAAATATAATGATTATACTCGTCCTCGCCCCCTTTAAAAATCTTTACTTTACATTCATTTACTTATTGCAGGAGATGCAGGACATGAGAGATTGTTATGATAGCTTACTTTCTGCTGCTGCAGCAATAGAAAATTGTGCTTATGGTACTTTCTTGTTAATTCCGTGCATTTCTATTTCAGTGTGAAAGGGAATGTCTATAATGTAATCTTGTCTTAAAAAATTCTTTTAGTATTTCATCAAATTATCACACACTAACAATTTCAAATCAGAAAAATAAAGGAGTATATGATCTTTCAGTCATTATTGCCTTATGTAACTTCGTCAGACCTTTTTCTTGCCATGAATCTAGCATATTTTTCATCAAGTTGGTTCATGGTCTTCATAGTTTGTAGCAGTTCATTATTGAGTAAGGTGATCCCTATGCTGACTTGTGGATTATTGTTTACTTGCTAATGTTATAATCCATCTTACTATTGGACTTGAGATTTTAAAACTAATTGCCCATGATTGGGTTCACCATCCTTTTCCTTTTTTACACTGCATCATGCTTATTCATCCACATTATGCGCTCAGCATTGTCAAATTTGGGTAGTTTCTGTCAAATTTATTGCTTTATGAGTTTATGTATTCCTTTAAAGCTGTGAGAATTTATTAAATGCAACATTTCTCTTAGCAAGTTCATGTTTAAAATCTAGGCTTGATTGATTAATTTCATGTTATTTCATCCTCTTGTTTGGGATTTAGTATCATGATCTAAATATTGACTGCCTTGTCTTATTTTTCATTTGGGTACTTCTTGTGTTGTGTTATTTGTTATATCTTCTTACATTAGTGCTTCTACCCAGAATTTTCGGAGTCATTGCAAGAATTTGGCACTTGCCTGCTTGAGAAGATTCCACTGGTTGATGATGAAGAAAGTGGTACGTGTAGACAGTTTTTGTTATGCACACTTTTACTTTACTAGTTAACTTGGACAAATTTCTACCAAAAAAAAAAAAAGTTAACTTGGACAAATACTAGTTGACTATTGATTCAGAACTTCACTGACAGATAAGTCCATGTCACCTTACAAGGTATCCATTTCAAAATAAGTATTTTGTTTTGCTTGTGTTTGATTCAAGAAAAATTTAACTCAAATTCAAAATTTAGTGACTATTTAGGGAATGAAGGATGCCTGGTTTAAGTTTCTCTTTCTCATTCTGGTTGCTGTTGCTTTAGTATCAATAATTCAACTAACATCTTGGATTGTGTCTGTTCTTTATCTGCTCTTTGAAATAGTTCAGCAATTACTATTAATTTATATAGTTTAATTCCACTTATGGATCTTAAGTGGTATACTATTAAAGCTATTTAGGCTAAATAAAAGTCTATTTCTTTTATATTCTTGTTAGCTAAATAAAATGGTTGTATTTTGTTTCTCTACAGGTAAGGTCCTGTTGTTGCTTGGGAAAGTGCAGTTTGAATTACAGAAACTTGTTGACAGCTATGTGAGTCCTTGTTAGATGTTATGATCCAAACCTGAAAAAATTCCTTTTTTTTTTTTTTTTCCCTGTGTTTGTTTCTGTGTGTTATAATACGTTGTTGTTTTATGTACTTCAGAGGTCTCATATATCCCAGACAATTACAAACCCGTCAGAGTCCCTACTTAATGAACTTCGGACAGTTGAGGTAACCCTCTGAATCTGGCTTTTGGAAGAGGTGTTTGGTCTTTTGCTTTTTGTAAAACTGAACCTTCCTGCTTTTTCATCATGCTCTTATCATTTGAATAAGAAGTTCCGTTCCGATTCTGTTTTCCCTTTTTTATGCACTGTTCTGATCCTTTGATCATAATGTGCTGGTGTTTTTGTGCTACTATAGTTCAGTTTTCTTTATTTCTCAATTAGTTCGAATCTTGATAGGTATACCTTTTGTTTTCTTTTAATTGCATACTTCAGAATAAGGAAAAACTAAAAAACTATGAAACACTATCTGCTAAAGGATAAGTAGAGGATAGGTGAGAGAGGCTAAGTTGGAAAGAGTTTAATCCTCCTAACTGAAGAAGTAAGCACTGTTAACCTGTTTCTCTCCCATTTTTTAGCATAACAACATTTGAAGCTTAGGCATATTAGAAAAATTGCTAGAAAGAGTGATTGTGGCAGCTGGATGAAACAGCTTTTCTTGTATTCATTTATCTATAAGGTAATGGGACTTCTATAATCCTAATATGCTGTTTTCCTTAGTTTAGGTGAAAAAAATACAAACTCAGTTCTTAAATGATAATCAGTTAATGACTTCCTGGACTCGATTTGTTTAAGATTTCTCTTTTATAGATGTGATTTAAACATTATAAAATGAAATGCTTAAATTTTCACTGCTGATCATATGGTTTTGGTTGTTTCTTTTATTTACAATTGTCCAGTTAAACATTCTAATTAAGAAAGTCACTTACTTTTCCCTCCTGTATATTGATACAGGAAATGAAACGGCAATGTGATGAAAAAAGGTACAAAAATCATCTTAAACATAGACATAGAGTTTACCTTTTGTTAAGGTACATCTTTTGAAAGTAATGCCTAACTTTGGTACATGGTGTACAGAAATGTGTATGAATACATGGTAACAAGACACAGAGAAAAAGGAAGGTCAAAAAATGGGAAAGGTGAAAGTTTTTCGACACAGCAGTTACAAGCAGCTCATGAGGAATATGATGAGGAGGCAACCTTTTTTGTTTTCCGTTTGAAATCTCTGAAACAAGGACAAACAAGAAGTCTTCTTACACAGGCTGCAAGGCACCATGCTGCTCAGGTTTTTTTTGGCTTATTAGGTTTTTTGTTGGTTATTAATATCTCCTTGCTCAAATGCCCTCTCTGATCCATGATATCACCCCCCCCTCTCTCTCTCTTAAATTCTCGTAAGCAGTTGTGCTTTTTCAAGAAGGCTCTCAAGTCTCTTGAAGCAGTTGAACCAAATGTGAAAATGATCAGTGAGAAGCAGCATATTGATTACCACTTCCCTGAACTTGATGACGGAACTGAGTTTGACAATGATGATGATGATGATGATGATGATGATGAAGATGTCGACAGTTATGGTGTGCATGATGATGGAGAATTGAGTTTTGACTATGGACAAAATGACCAGGAACAAGATGATGTTTCTGAATCTCGAAACTTAATGGAGGTAATTACTGAATTTGATCCAACTCTGTTTGAGATAAGCTAATTGTTTTTTCCACCCATGTTTGCAGGAATGATATCTGATCAAGCTCTAAATTTTGCAATACAAGGATTTTCCTCCTGGACAAACTCTTTGCCTTAAACATGCTCTCTTATTATCTTTTATGAGCTTGTGGCTATTAAGTTGTTAGACATGTTAATCATAATCTGAATAACTTTCTGGGAAAGGGAACCTAAAACTTGTCACTGGTGAATTCATAATTGCACTAGCTAAGTTCCTTGCGCATGAAACATTTTTTAAGCTCAAGAAGTAATGAAGTATGTTATCAGGTTCTAAAGGTCCAAGTGAATAGAAGTCTAGAACCAATCCAATTTCTGTCTCCACTTTATCTTAAGCACCGCTTTCCACTGTTTTTTTTTTTTTTTTTGTTGTTGATAACATAGGTTTTTAGACATTTGACTTCAAATTTTGTCCAATTGTGCAGTTAGATCAAGGAGGCATTACATTTCCCCAAGTTACGACATTGGAGACTGCAATGGTAAAATCTTTTCTTATCTGAATAATGTTCACAATTAGTAGAGTAGAAACTGCAAATATGGGTGGTGCAGACATATATGGTGTGCCCATGGGGCTATTAACACAAGTTTGAACCCCCCATTGCCATTTGAGTGCAAACAAACCCAATGGACCACGTCTGCTACCCTTGGGTTGAAATTTTCCTTGTACCCATGGCAAGGTTGTAAAAGCAACCGCCTAGGCTCTAGGTGCTGCCATTCTGCCCATGTCAGCCTCTCGGCAGAAATTTAATGTGGTTTGCACTGCCTAGATCAATTAAGCATGCCTACGCACTATTAGGTGTGCTTAAAGGTGCGTAAAGTGCCTGAGCAAATTTTTTTTTTTTAGCCTAAGGAAACCACATTATTTCATTTATTATAAAAATTATATTAAAAAAAATTAAATGCCAAGTAATTCCCTTAAATTTTGCTTTTCGGACATGATAATGAATAGAAAAATGTTTAATTTTTTGTTTATTTTGTAATTTTAAAAATTGTTTTACATTTTTTTCTTATTTTCTCAGAATTATATCAAAAAAAAAAAAAAAACTGCCTAGGCAGCCTAGGCACTGACTATGCACTCTAGGCTCTAGGCTCTGGGCAATTGCCCGCCATTGCCTAGCGCTTTCTACAACCTTAAGTTGTGGACATGACAATCTACAGGTTTCCATGAGATTAGTTGGGCCAAATGGTTGGATATGCACATGTTATCAAAAAATTAAAAAAAAAAGAAGAGTTTTTTTTTTGAACAGCATTGAGGTTGTTAACAGAATCAATTCTTATAATGATCTGATCTCCATTGCTTGGTTTTCTTGTGAATTGCAATTTTCTATTTCTTTAACTATTTTTATGTGCTTAATCTGAAGTTGGTTTTGAAATTTTAAAACTTTTCAGCTTGTTGCTAACATCTAATTTCAAATATAATATTTGCCTGCCTATCAATCCAGAGAATTTTAGCTAACAAACATTTAAAACTTAATCTCCCATTAGATATGAATTCACATTGGGATACAATTAACTTTGTCTTCTGAAATGAGGTTGTTGGATTGGGTTGATAAGCATATTTATATACTTGCACACCAGCAAATGTATTATTATGATTCCCCTGAAGCAATTATATATCTGCTAACAGTATTTGACCTCTTCTTAATCTCTTGTAGAGCACTTTTCTTTGAGCTGCAGCAAATATATGCTCCAAGTGGAAGTGTTTTTTATTTTTTAATATAATTCTCTGGTGATATATTGCAGGGAAACCTAGACAGAAGTTACAGGAATTCTTTTTCTTTTAGAGGTGATATTAGGAACAGCAGCCAATCAGCACCGCTATTTTTTGAAAAGAGGTTGGATTCTGCTGATAAATTTATGCAGAAGCAACCATCATTCACACGGAAGCTCAACTCATATGTATTACCTACACCAGGTGATACAAAGAGTTCACGTTCTATAGGATCAGTTAATCCACCGCCTCAGACTTCAAAGATAAGTTTGAGTGCAAATACACGCAATCTGTGGCATTCATCGCCTCTGGAAAAAAAGAAATATGAAACGACTTTGGGAGAGGAGGAATTTTCTGGACCTGCTGTTACAAAAAGGCAGTCAGTGCTAAGAGAGAGCAACAAGAACAGTACATCATCCCGACTACCTCCTCCTCTTGCAGATGGGGTTACATTTCCACGTTATAGTGCAGTTGGTGCTTCTGATTATAAGAAAACGAAAAGACAAGCCTTTTCTGGTCCATTGATAAGTAAACGACCATGGCCTTCTAAGCCCATGTTGGTAGAACATCCTCCATTGTTCTCTGGACCAATTCTGAGAAATCCAGTGCCTCAACCACCATCATCATCTCCAAAAGTATCACCAAGTGCGTCCCCTACTTTTACGTCCTCTCCTAGAATAAATGAGCTTCATGAGCTTCCTAGACCCCCAGCCAGTTCAACATCCAGTTCTTCGAGACCCTCAGGTTTGATTGCTCACTCAGGCCCTTTGGTTTCTGGAGGTCATGTGCTTTCTGCTACAAATAAATCAGTAATGTCAAAAGCAGCTTCTCCACTGCCACAACCACCGCAGTCTATCACTCGCAGTTTCTCCATACCCTCTGGCACTCAGAGAGTTATGGCATTACCTGTCTCTAAGCCACCAAAAGCTGCTGACAGTTCTGTGATCATTGAAGACATTGCCTCGCCCCCTCTAACACCGTTATCTTTACCTAGAGGTAATTAAGAGCTTGATTATTTGGTCTTGATTCAGTTTAAAATAAGTTGTGCCAGAAGATGATTATGACACTTTAGTTGATAGGTATTGTCTAGGTACATCTGAGTCTGTTGGTGGTTGGTAGATAATTTTTGGATTTTCCTAATGAAGTAAAATTATATGAAAGCTTTTTTGATTCATAGATTCGTCATTGCTTTCTATACTAGTAAAATGTGAGCAGGCATGCTTTTTAAGTAAAAGATTTGACTGGTCTGGTAGATATCCACGCATGGGATTTTGCTTAGCTGATTTTGCTTCATCGCTTCCCACCCATCCCAAGGTTCGAACATGAAACCTCCAATTTCGAACTCAAGATCTAATCTTTGGGATTTTATTCATCTCAAGATTTGGCATGTATTCTGATGTCCTACCATTAATTAGTGACAAGTTGCACTTTTTAGCAACATCTCAGTGAATTGAATTATTCAATCTGAGATGCCTGTCTTTCATATCACGGTTATAAGATTTATCATATTGCATGTTATATTATCACCACCATTAGGCCTCTGTAGCTTGTATATTCAGCTTTCTTGACCCTATTTCTGACCATTGGTAAAAAATGAATGCAGGAGCCAATTGACAACGTTTTTCATAGGGATAATTGTCTGAGCTGTGGGGCAAGATTATCTTCACCATTTCGTAGAGTTGCTGATATGTATATATTCAGTGAATGGTATTATTTTTTCCTTTTTTGGTTTTTTTTCCTCATCCGTCTTAGCCTATTTCGACGAACACTAGGCCTAATCAATCAGTATGTGCCATGTGTTCTATCATTTCAGAAATTTTGGGTTTTCTCCAATGCAATAATAATAGTTACATCCATTTTTTCCTCCAGAACTCTTTACTTTGCAATATTCTGTGTAGTGATTTGTGGTCATAACAGTTCTTTGAAGACTTGAGTTCGAAGTTTTGGTTTATCTATTCAGTATTCATAGGTGGGAGGTCCCTTCCAGCCAATCCATGATTGACTTACTGGATTTGTGTAATCCACGCAGCTGCAGCTGGTTTTGCGTGGATGCAACAAATTCACAAAAATTTGGATACTTTGTTTAGACATGGAATTTAAGAGTCTATGCTGGTCTGAAATGCAAAGCAGTAGTCAATAGTTATACGGGTAAACAGATTTGTTATTCCCTTCCATATAAAGAGATTATACATGGAAGGGGCAACATATTTTGCCTCTGGCTGAATCATTTACACCCTCCAGTATCATATCTCACAAATCCCATCAGCTCTGGTCCTTCCAGTCTTGTGTTGTTCATGAAACTGCACCAAAATAATCACAAGAAAACACAGTCAAGGAAAATGGAAAAACAATCAAAGAACATTCCAGTTGTTAAGTTCGACCGATCACCTTTCCTCTGAAAACTTAGAGAACGCGCCTGAAGTTGGAAACGTGCCACACAAATCGTTGTTCGACACATCACTGCAGAATTTCATGTGTTAGCTAATATGACTTTAGAGAAAACATGGTGTATTATGAGTTTAATGCTATGACTCACAGGATCTTGAGGTTCTTAAGTTTGGTGAGTTCTCTTGGTATTCTACCAGTTAATCTGTTACCATTGAGTCGCCTGCAAACAAGAAACACATATGTAGCACTCAATTTAACAGCCCACATAAACATTAATGACAGAAATGAAAGCGAGAATGCTTGTTTGCTTACAGGAACTTGAGATTAGAGAGCTTAGAAAGCGAAGCAGGGATTGGTCCTGTGAGATTATTGTGGTAAAGATCCAAGCTCACCAGGCTGTTCAACCCTCCTAGTTCCCCTGGGATGGAACCCACCAAGTCATTCATGTACAGTTCCCTGAACATTGAAGATTCAAACAACACACACCAACCGGGTCACGTTACATTTAATCCTCATTATTTCATCAATCATGGTGAATCTAACACAAAATATCGTTTCAATCCATGAGCAAAATAGTATTAATGGGACCTGACAGACTGGTAAGATAGGGTAGTAAGGATGATCATAAATGTTCTTCCATTGCTGTACCAAACAAAATTGATCCTTTTTGTCTCAACTCCATAGAACCCCATTTCTATTTTGTCCAAATAATTTCATTTTTAACCCCCATGGCTTTCTTAGCAGAAGTATCATATCCAAATGCATGGTGAATTGTGGAAATGGGACGACTATCATATTATGTGCCAAAAAAAAAGGTCATTTGTATGGTATATAGTCTCCATTGTGTAGAGAATGTCATGGAACAGATGATTAAAGATTGCCATGTTGGAATCACAAAAATAAGGACTTGGTCAGTGAAGATTTGCTTACAGGTACTGAAGGCGCTCCAGCTTGCCCAACTCAGGTACCAAAGTGCCAGACAGCTTTGCATTTCCTAGGTCCCTGCACAGATTGCACCCCCTTATTAATTTACCTCTCTTCTACTAAATATTCTCTGCTCTAATATCCACAGTCATTCAAAATCGAATCTAATTGAATCAAGATCTCCATTTCATATGCAAGTCTTTTTCTTCTCATTTCATAGCAGTTTTGCAGTTCTACAAGCAAATTTTATAAAATGTGTACCAAAAAAACAAAAAAAAAAAAAAATTATGAATACTCCCAAGCTGGTTCTAATCATGGGATGAGTGGGGAGGGATTTGCAAAATAAGACACTTATCCCTGTTGTATAGCTCATCTATCACATTTAACAAAAACAAATTGACAATGGGCTGTTTTGATAATGAAACAAAACAAAAAATGAGAAACTGAAACAGGCTAAGGGTAGAAGTATGAGAAAAGGAAGAGATTTGAAATGGGACTTACAGTCTTGTGACTCGATTGTCGCCATCGCAGGTAACATGAAACCAAGTGCAAGGATCAACCAAGGTGGGATCCCAGCTCTGGAGCACATTTTCTGGGTCCTTTACGGCTCTCCTCAACGCATACAGAGCATCCCCTGCGCAGTGATTTACGCCCACAAACAAACACAATACCATTTAAAAACTACACTAATATAAACATAGGAGAACAATGGAAAAAAACCGGGTTGATTGAAAGTACGAACCTTCTGGATTTGCGGTTGTGAGTGTCGGTGCCAAAGCCGCTGAGAGAAGAACGAAGTAAAGAAGATGAAGCAGAGTCCAGATCGCCATTACCACAACCCCTGAAGGTTGGCTTTGGAGTTGAGGATTTTTACAAGTCCAAGATGCTTAGTATGGGGATTTTTAATGCAGGGGGAGGGAGAGAAAGGGAGAGTTCACAAGTTTGCTTGAAGCATGGTAGCAAGGAATCAGAGGTTTGTGGGGGAAATTTATAGAGCCCCTAAAAGGACCGCTGGTTTTTGTAGTAGTTTACAATTACAAAGCGTTAAATGAGGTGGGTACTCTCTTTTCCTCGCTCTATCTACTGCACCTCCCAACAATTACTACAGCAAT